GATTTTTGCGACTTTTTCATGGTTCCAAAAACCAACCAAATATGCTGTAAATGAACGATATTAGTCTTAGGCAGGCATTTCTATTATTTTAAGACAGTTTTGGAATAGTTCAAAAAGTCGTCAAAATTGACCAAAATCGTAAGGGGTAGGCCTTACCATTTTGGGGAATTTTGACAACTTTTTCAATATTTTAAAAAACAAGCAAATATGCTCTAAAAATAAAGATATCAGTCTTAGGAAGCCATTTTTTGAATTTTAAGACAGTTTTTGAACAATTCAAAAAGTCGTCAAAATTGACCAAAATGGTAAGGGGTAAGCCTTAACATTTTGGTCAAAATTGATGACTTTTTCAATGTTCCAAAAACCAACCAAATATGCTCTAAAATGAAAGATATTCGTCTTATAAAGCCATTTTTAGCATTTTAAAACAGTTTTTGAGCAGTTCAAAAAGTCGTCAAAATTGACCAAAATAGTAAGGGGTAAGCCTTACCATTTTGGGCAATTTTGACGACTTTTATAATATTTTTAAAACCAACCAAATATGCTCTAAAAGGAAAGATATTAGTCTTAGAAAGCCATTTTTAGCATTTTTAAAACAGTTTTTAGCAGTTCAAAAAGTCGTCAAAATTGACCAAAATGGTCAAATACATCTTACGAAGATATTTCGTTCCTGAGCATAATTTGTTGGTTTTTCGAAAATTGAAAAGTTCATCAAAATCGGCTAAAATGGTATAGGGTCAAGGGGTATCCTTACCATTTTGGCCAAAATTGAAGATTTTCCAAAGTTTTCAAATATGTCCTAATTTGCTGAAAACGGCTTCAAATATTTGTTTAGACCAGTTTATTTCGTATTTTAGCATATTTGCTTGGTTTTTTGAAAATTGAAAAATTCATCAAAATCGGCGAAAATGGTAAAGGGCCAATACCCTTACAATTTTGGCCAAAATTGGCGATTTTCGAAAATTTTTAAAAATGTCTCAAATGCGACAATAACCGGTCTCTATTAGAAAAGGCTGAGGGTGTATGCAGTCGTTCAAGCATTAAATTTTTTACGGCGAACGTGAAACACATACGGCAAAGCTGAATTAGCTGTTTTTCTAAATTCTAAATACATCAGAAATAGCCTATTGCTTTCTTACATTTCTGCTGAACATCACAAGTTTTATGCAGAACTTTTTAATTTAGATAATTTGAAAAAATTAGAAAAGTAGTACGGTGGCGCATAGGTGTCACGGCAACGGTTTGAAAGTACAAGGCACAGCATTTATATTGCACGGCAACATCGGCATTGAATGTTCACGGAAACTTTTAAAACCAACGGCACCATCAAAAGTTCGCGGCAAAAATAGAATTTCTCACGGCGACTTTTAAAATCCATGGCAACATTAAAAGTTCGCGGCAAAAATGTAGAATTCCTCACGGCGGAAGTGGAATGCTATTCTTCCTGGAAATTAATCTAGTTACCAGGTTCCTTATTTAGTTATTTTATCAATGATGACAATCAAAATGGCCGCAAAAGAGGAAGAAAACGTGTTGTAAGTTTCTACATAATGACTTGAATCTGACTTGAATGTACTACCACCTTCCCCGTTTCAACTAATTTTGAAACAAGAAAAATTGCCAGAACAGCATTCTAAAATTGGTAAGACTGCAATGTTCGGTACTTTGGTTGCAAAAAGCGTCGCCGTGGGAACTTGGCAAATTTTGTATATTTGAATTACTAATCATCGATAGCTATAACCGCCATTTTGATTGTTAACGGATGGATTGTTAAGTAAAATAAGGAACCTGGTAACTAGATTAATTTCCAGGAAGAATAGCATTCCACTTCCGCCGTGAGACATTCTACATTTTTGCCGCGAACTTTTAATGTTGCCGTGGATTTCAAAAGTTGCCGTGAGTTATTCTATTGTTGCCGCGAACTTTTGATGTTGCCGCTGGTTTTAAAAGTTTTCGGGAGCATTCAATGCCGATGTTGCCAGGCAATATAAATGCTGTGCCCTGTACTTTTCAAACCGTTGCCGTGACACCTATGGGCCACCGTAGCCGTAGTACGAAAATTCTAATTGTTTAGCTCTCTAGTGCAGTAATGCCTGATAATTCTGGCACTTAAAAAGGACAGAGAAGGTAAGATAGGTAAGGAAGTAACAAGATATTATTAAGGTGTAAATATACTCCGAATTTTACATCATTTAAAGAATAATCTTATCGGACAATTATTTGAAAGAAATTTGAAATTTTTTCAACAAGAAATTCCACCGTGCTTATTGTATTTCAAAAAGATGCGTATTGACACTGGAAATTAGTGAATTTTAGAGAACTTTGTTGGAATCGTTAGCGAACTAAGCTGCAAACATATTGTCTTTGGCGTCCTTACTTACCGCTTAGGCAATGCAGATAAATAAGATAATTTACGTCGAAAGTAATTATCAGCCATTAAGATCATTAAATTGATTAGATTTGGTGATTATAACGTTAATTAGACGTCACGAAAACATACTGTTTATGTTAATATCACGTGATTCATTTGTTATATAAGGCGTAGTTTTGGTTGCAATAAACAAGAAACATTTTCAAGATCAAAAGATGTTTAAAAGCAAATCGGACATTATGAAAATTGTGTTACTGGCGATTGTTGTCTCTCTCTGCAGAGCTTATGGTGAGGTTATTTTGGTGTAAACCATAAATTATTTAGAATGCGCGCAAACTTTATATTATTCTGAAATATTTGCCAAGGTTTCTTCTATTTTCGACTACTCAAAGTATAATAAAGACATGCTTTAGCTAACGTAAACTTTCCTATATTAGTAATTAATTAAAACAAAATTCAAAATGTGTATTCTTCTAGACTTGTTTGACATAAGAGATTCTGAAGGCCAAAATTTGGGAAAAAGATCCACGATCGACAGTGAAGCGGGGCAGAATATCAAATATCCCTTTAAACGGTTTATGGTACAGAACGCCATACTCACCGGAAAAAGAAATTTTAAAAACGATGATCAAAATGTTTGGGGAAAGCGACAAAATTTTTTGAAAGGTCGGAATTTGGGCGGACATGATGATAGCGGTGAAAGAAGACGGCAGAACCCTTGGTTTTTCGGGCAGAAAGGAAAACGATCCGAGAGTCAAAACTTTAAACTAAAATAGACGAGAAATAGGACACATGATTAAAGTTAATATAAATACATGGTAATGCATCAGTAGTATAATTATTGTTTGCTCGATGTACTGTAACTGGGATGCAAATAAAATAGCTTGTTCATTCAAATTGTGTTTATTTCTGTTGACGATGATGGCCTATATTGCTTTTCACTTTTAATATTCAGTTGTTGATAAGCCGAATCATTCTACAGTGAAAAACTGAGTATCTTTTCAGTTATCACTGAAATATAATAAGTATATATATATATATACTCTATGTATCTGCGCAATGAATTGCAAACAATGGACCATTTCCCAAAATTTAAAAGTAAACGAAACAAATTTTTAGACTGAATATTTCAATTTAAATCATGATAACTAGTGTGCAATAAATAGCTTAGTATATTTGTGATGGCAATACGCATTCAGTCGCACTGTTTTTGACTGATAAAAACAATGATTTTTTAAAATGTGATATAATGATTTGAAATTTTTGCATTCCGTGCAGATATATCGCACCGGCTAGCCTGCTGTGCCAGTTATGATATTGGATAAAAATTAAACGATATTGAAAGATTGGATAAAAATGTTTACTCTCTTTGCCTTCGGCCGTTGGGAAATGATTCTCAATAAACCTTTGATCACATAGCTTTTTATATCTCAAAGAACGTTTGCTTTATATATATATAGCATATATATATATGGACCTGACTCTAATGTGTACGAGGTAATTCCAATATTACATCAAATAGCACCTTGGTGACAACTAAAATGAATGAATGTCGGTTGATACTAAACGTCTATCCATTAGACTTTTACCATTTTTAATAATAAGTTCTTTTGATTTATTTTCTTAGGCTATGTGCACACACGGTAACGTTTTCGAGCGTTTCTACATTCGTTTTCATGCCAAAACGGTTTGAAACACAATCACTTTATAATTGAAGTTGAAGATAATTTAGCACATTGAGCATATTTTTCCTTGAATCGTGTGGACAAGGCGTCTAAACAATAAAATGGGCAAAAACGACGCTCGTGTCACAGACATATATATTAGGAATTAGACTTTTACGCGCGTGCGTCTACGTGCAGGCGTATGAAAAACGGCGTAAGTGGGAAGCAGCCCTTGAAGCAACTGTAATTTTCCCTGCAAGTTGAAGCGCAATTATAATTTTGAGAGATGTTAATTAGTAAAGAGTGTTCGAAATGTTAAGAAGAAGTTAGAAGATCGTAAGAGATGTTCGTATTTGTCAACTTTAGATGCCTCAAGAGTAGAATTGCATTGCTAGTTGCAAGAAAAGCTGCATGCATGCATATAGTGTAACAGCGCCTTTATTCAACTTCTTGTATTTTTGTCGTACAGCGCTAAACCCAGTTGTAGCCATCTGGAACAATTTTCTTATTATAAAATATAATCTTGTTTGCGCCAAGAAAATCCTATTGAAAAACTGGCTTTGGTTAGGCATTGTGTGTTTCATACTTATATTTATATGCATGCATGCATGTAACGATGAAAACCCACTAGCGGTTAAACTCTTTTACTCATCGCAAAAACCCCGCAAGTTTGCTGCAAGCGCAATTATCCGATCTTACTTTTACTTCTATAAAGTTTAATGATTTATATGTTTTTCACTGCTGCGAGTGTTTAACAAAAAAATTGAATTAATATATGAATACGATTGATGTTTTTATGAGCTGAATGTTGGAAAGTATGAAGCAAAACCAGTGGCAGTGGCCATCAGTGATCATCATCATTCTTTCAACCGTTGAAAAAATGACAATCCGACAGATAGCCGCCATACCCACAGATGGCGCCATCCATCTTTAAAAATACTTTTATATGAATGATGAGACGAGAATTCTTTTGTCCTAGAAAATCTAAAAAAATCGGCTTCATATGAAAATTTGAAATGTAGTTTTCAGTAGTCCGTCTTCACCATGCACAGGCACAGATCAGTCGGTCTTTTGCAAATTTTCAGTTTTGCAGTCGCTATTTTGGCTGTATGCCGATACGCACGTACGTGATATTGCCGTGTATATCACCGACTTTGAAACAATGACAAGGTGATGCGTTCCAATATTAACAATGCGACACAATCACGATGTAAATAAAAATTTCAGTTGCGTGGAAAGAACAATAGCGTGATTTTTTTGTTTAAATAAATGAACTCAAGACCAGGGCCCGTCGTATCAAGCCTGTTTAGCTTAAACGTGGATAAGTCAAAATTAAATAACACTCTTAGATCTCTCTTGAATGAGTCTACTTGAATATCATGTACTGAATATGTAGTTGTAGACAGTATCTTTGTATTATTAAGGACACAAATATTTAGTTCGGTTGTTAAACTTACTTTCTATTTTGAACGTGTCCACCGTTTAAGCTAAACGGGCTTGGATAAGGCTTAATAATACAACCGGCCACAGACTAGAAATAGCCTACGACATAGGCTAGACTAGAAGTCTCTTCCAGCACTCGATCCTCTAGCGAGGTAACGAAGGCTCCGAGATGATTGAAATCAGAAAGGATTCTGATTGGTTGTTGACGACTTAACGCAACATGGAATGTTAATTGTAATACAATAAAGAAAATTGCCAGTAATACTTTAAATTAGGCAAACGTTGTTCAAAGTCGGTTACGTTAATCGATTGTTTAGGATGTTAAATATGTTTTTCCATAAATATTTTCTGGATCAATGGAAGTCTATTTTGTAAAGTTTTGAAATGAACAGCGGTGCAGAAGCACTCAAGCACGTGAACCATTACAGCAGATTAATATTTAACCCCAGATTAGCACTATAAACTTTATCATTATCTATCACAACTGAGCTGAAATTTATTTTTGTTAGTTTTACTGGAGTTCACATTGATATATTTACTAATTCATGGCATAGACAACAAGCTATGGCGAAATTTCAGGAATGATTAGTTTTGTTTCACCATGATGAAGTGTGAAAAAATCTTCTTCAGGTATAGCTGCCTTCAAGAGAGCTTCTTTTAATTTTTTAGGGGGATCCAAATAATGCTAAAGTGATAAGAAATCATAAATATGGCAAAGCAAGTTTCAAGTAGCTTGAGATAAATTGTGATCAATTAGGGGCTGTTGTTGAGTCGAAGCTATTGCTGATGGGTATAATTACAAGTGCACTCCTAAGGGGTGGTTGTTCAAAAGCTGGTTAGCTTAACCCTGGGTTAAAGCAATTCTTTACATCAATTTTTTTAATCGATTGTTTTCAAAGCTGATTATTTTTTTCCACAAATATTTTCTGGACTGACAAAAGCCATTTTTTGTAGAGGTTTTAAAACTAACAGCAGTTCAGGAGCACTTAATTGAAAACAGTGGATTAAAATTTAACCAAGGATTAGCATTAACCCAGCTTTGAACAACTGGCTCCAGGGTAAAATACATCTGTTTAATTTCTTTTCCACATGTAAATTTGAACTGAATTTTTTTTATGAGTGTAGTTATGCCACAATGAACTTATTTTATTTCTAATTTTGTTCAAATTGCATTATATGGTATGTTAAAAAAATACCTCATACGTCAATACAAAAGTTCCCCAGTGAATTCCAAGAGATTTTTTAGCCTTGACATCCTGATGAATTTTCACAGATTCTTCAGGATTACATGTTGCTTTTCCATCATCTTTCTGTTGTAACAAAAAGATCCTTCATAAGCTAGACCCCACTAATGCTAGTAAAGTCACCCTCCATTTTCATTTTAAAAATCCAGGAATATTGCCAACTAACAACCCTTGAGTTTAGTCTGTAAAAATTAGGCCCTTTTGCCAAGAGAGAAACATTCATAACATCTTACAGAATTACAAGGGCTATTAAACTATGAAAATTACTAAAGGGGTATCCAAGAATGTCTTACAGTACCTTGGTTCATAGGCACCTATAGGTATAGCTGCCAAATCAAAAGGACCATACTTATGCCCAATCTGCTTAAATCCTGCACAATATGCGGTATCACCAGCAAAGTACATTCTATATCTCGGACCTATTATGGCCCAGCTTCCCCACAAGACTTTATTTCGATCAAACAATCCACGATTACACCAATGTTTTGTTGGAGTAAACACAAAGTTCATACTATAAGTGACATGATTAGAGGTCTTAGTAATTTCCTTTCCTTCCCACCATTCATACTCATTAACATTCGTAGTTACACCTGTTTGGTTCATCCAGCCTTTCAAGCCTGCAGGGACAAACCATTGCAATTGTGGAAATCGAGCATTTAAATCTTTCACTGTTTGCACATCAAGGTGGTCATAATGATTGTGGCTGATACAAACAGCATCAATTTCTGGTAACTCATCCACAGTACAAGGGGTTGGGCGGTATCGCTTTGGGCCAGCAAAGCTTACAAATGAGCATCTGTTGCTAAAAATTGGATCAGCCAGGATAGTGAAGCCGTCAAATTGGACTAAGACTGAGGCATGGCCTATCCAGGTAATCCTTATCCCTTCTTCAGGGGGACTGGATACATCTGGGCTTAGTTTACGAACTGGAAGTGTCTTGTCCAGCTCCTATGGGAATGCAAAAATTAAAATCACAATAATATTTGTGTAGGTAATATTGTTATAGTTTATAGATCTGTTTAATTGCAGTGTTACATTGGTAAAATAATGCAATTGAGCCACAATATAGCCTGTAAATACAGAATCGATCTACACATTGATTTTAAAACCAATTTGGGAAGGAACCTTGAAAAAAACAGGATGGCAAATGCAATATAATATTGGTAAATGGTATTGCATTAAGTTCTTATTATTGAGTTAGGTCTGTTTAACAATAAACTGGAGCAATTCCATACTCTCTTCAGTGCTTAGTAGGTCTTTCCAGAGATCAATGTTTCATCCCATACATCAACCCTTATCAACTAATAATGGAACAACCACACTATTGGTCAAATAACACTACATTTCAGATTCACTGCCACATGAAACATAATTATACATAAACTACAAATTAACTCGATCTAAATGGTATGGTGTGCAGAAGGATTTGTTACAAAGCATTTCCAATTTGTACAACACATTAATTAATAAGAAATAAGCTCACTTCTTTTCCAGGTACATTGCTCAAATTTTGTTCTGTGAGAAAATGCCTTGCTTGAAGAAATGATGGTATATCGCCATCTCCCCAAGGATTTTTATACACATTGCCTTCCTTTATTGACTTTGTATAAGTAATTCCATGATCATGGCCTCCTTCAGCCATGGCAACACTATATATTGATGACAAAAAATGGTAGATAACTCTAAGCATGTCAATCATAAAAATGTATACATAGGCAAAGCTATGCATGTGCAGTCAATCATATTAAAAAAAGTTATGTCTGAAGAAAACTTACCGTTGTAGTCTCCGTAAAATAAAAGGCGCAATGAGCGCACCGCCTAAGAAGTAAAGTCGAATTTTGAAAATTATTCTTTTTATATTGATAAATCGGCTTTCACAGTTCACAAATCTTTCTCCTGGCCTGGTCTCAGTGGTCTGCGCATGCTCTGATTTGTTCCATCTGATCTGTTGAGTCACTGGAGTGTTGACTAGTGTTGACATTCGTTGACAAAGGGTTGACACCAGTGGTTGACACGAATAAGCAACCCAAATCAGCGTGATAATTTGAACACGAGAAATTTTTCGGCAATTTGTCAGGACATTTTGCCAGAAAATGTATGTAGTGCTCAGTGAGCTGGGAGTGCTCAAATTATCACGCATTTTTGGGCAGCTAATACCAGCTATGGACAAACCGGTGGACTGGTAGACGAGTTCACTGGTAGTACCAGAACGTCCTTCAGACCATATATAAATATACAAACTTTGCCATGAATGCTGTGGGACAAATGTGGGAAAATGCAACATGAATGATGATAACATGAAGTATAAAATCTTGTCGCTATTACTTATTTTGGCCAAGACAGTGGCCAGTCGGGGACATGTTGTAAAGCAGATTCATTGCTTCGATTGCTTCTGCTGTTTATTTATTCCCTACCAGTGAACTCTCTCTATATATAGAGTTCACTGTTCTCTACATTTTGGTTGTCTATATGTTCAGACGGCTTCATCGACTTTCAGAAAGTACAAACGTTCAGAAATTTCCCTGAAAATTTTCCGCCCATGCAGAGCAGTTTCTCTCTGAAATACTGAAACTCTCTTTCACAATTATAATGCATGAATTCATATCTTTTGGCTTCACTGAAAATTACAACATACAACCACCCCTATATGGTGGGTTTGCCAGTTAAAAGACATTGAGAAACTTATTGTCCGATGTCTTTAAAAAGTCATTAAGTCCATAATTGTGAAATAACACACTTGACAAACACT